ATGTGAGTACAAGAAACTGTTACAGAAAGCTACAGAAAATGGCTACAGAAGAAAAAATAATACAGCCTTTGCTTTTGATCTAAAATTCATGTGCGACTTTTTTTTTAAAGCAGGCACTAACTTAACTAAAAGACAGACTTAAAGAGCTGGTTACAAAGCTACAAGATGATTAGGTAGAAATAACTCATTAGCATTGATAAAAATGCCAAGTTGTATTTGAAGATATGGCAAAAAGAAATCAGAAATAGTCTTGCTGCCAAGTAATTCGTAGAGCTCTGATTAATTCATTATTAAATTTTTAATATTTTTATGTATTAAAATATTTTAAGACTAAATTATGACCAACAAATATTTAGCGTGTAAATATTATCTGTAACAATTTTCTGACATTATTATTTCAGAAAAAAATCTGACTTGTATTGCACTAAGGTTTGGAGATCAGATCAGGTTCTGGACAACACAAGGACAGCCTTCTCCAAATCTAATTATTAATGGCATTATTGAATTCAACCAGATGTTTCACATGGATAAAATTAAGTACATGAATAAATCAAGATCCAAGCGCACGCTTAGATTTGACAGACGATAAGGAAAGGTGAAACAAAAAGTAATGAAGGCAGTTAATGAAAAACTATGTATCCCTGATTGCTAATATAACTTGAAATTAAAAATTCAAAATGTAATAGGCCTGTTAAATGATCGCTGTGCTGACAGACAAATGAGCAGGATGTTTCTCACATCATATTGTCTACTCGTTTCTATCTGGCCAAGTTTAGCCAGGTTGAGTAGTAAACCTTTTATGGCCTCCCAAAGGTAAGAGACAAACATATTCTCAGTGTACAAAATATAGCTAATGAGCCACATTTCTATTAATAATGTAAGAACTTCAAATATTATTCTAATGTATAATCCTTTATGGAAATTATGTAATGGAATCATGATTTAAAATACAGTGCACACTTGTTCTCTTCTAACTTTTAAAATTACAAGATCATTTACATCTAATCAGCTGCAAATCTGACACTAAAGGAAAAAAAGAAAAGTATTTTAAGAAAAAGAGGGAAGACATTAACAGATTAAACTATTTGTAACCAGGAAAAATTATTTTTAAAGGAATATTTCAACCGCAAGTTATTACTAGTAAAGAATTAAAACTCTGGAAACAGCAATTTCTATTTAAACACCAATCTCAGCCAATAATTACAATTGTACTTCTATAATAATTCATCTAAATAGAGCCTAGAATTAACTCGGAGTGTCTCTAGTGTATTGCTGTTGTAGTAAGTTTACCTGGAGATGATGGCTGGCTTTGGATAAAGGTGGTACAGAGAAAAATGTCGAGCATGCAGTATGCACTCCCTCTGCTGGGCACCCGGATTATCCTCAACAGGCATTCAGAGAAAGGAAGGGATATGTCTGAGCACCCAGGTAATGTGAAATAAAAGCCCTTTTACAGTTTCTGCCCTCTTCCTTCTAGATTCAGCTGAAACTCAGACTCACAGAAAAACATGTTTCAAAACTCCTGTTTATGCTCTCAAAATGTTTCCTATCAGAAACCAAAATCTGATTCATACCCCAAACAAGTATTTAACTACAGTGAACATAACTTGTATAGCCACACAAAACCTCATTTGCCTTTGACTGACACAGTAAGACTCATTTTCTGTGCATCATCTGCCCCTTTGAAAAAATAACAGCTCAGGAAGAAATGTCTGGATGACTTCTGATCTGCTGGGGGCAGAGCAATGGGAAGAAGGAATGCACAGTCTGGGCAGCTAGGATGTATTAACATTTATAAAACTTGCTTGTTCCTAGGCAGTCAAAGGATAACCTTTGTTATTCTTTTCCCTCTCCTCGCACAGCTCCCAAGAGGTAAGCGCAGAATGGTGCCATAGCCTAACTTGCATTGGCAGGGTTTAAGTGTTATATAAAAATGATTTCTTTATAGTTCTTTCTAATTAAGGCCTTCTGATGGTTTGAATTCTTCACTATCGTGGAGGAGAAAAGAAAGAGGTGGTTATATCTCATGTCACTATAAACCATTTTAAGTCAAAGTGTCTCACTGTATAAAGGTCTGTTTTCCTTCAAGTGACTTTGTATGAGAGTTCTCCTGTAGTTTGCAAAGCAGTGGGGCTTTTCCATTTTTCAGTAAAGATAAAGGCAAAAAAACTTCAGAAAAAATATTTTATGCTAATTTTCCAACATGCTCTGATTGCCTAAGGATGCTGCCTTGCAGACATGTGCTCCGTGATCTGGAAAACGAACCGAGAAATGATGGAAAGCGTGGAGGTAATAGTTACTATTGCTAAAAGCAGACACCCTCCCGCACCAACCAGATGACTCTTCTGTGAAGGTAGGCCAGGTAAATCACTAACTTCTTCCTCTCAATGTAATTTCCATCCAGCTACGCTGCTGGTATATTCATATTGAAACGTAGCATCAATAATTACTCCAAATATACGTGCCTTATTTGTATCTCAGTCACATTCAAGTATAACTGTTCAGATAAACAAGAGTACCAATGACATGTGGCAATGGTAAGGGACTCTAGGATCCTCCCTCTTTTAAGTGGCAGTTTAAATCTCTGCAGGATTGAGAGATATAGTGGAGTGTATAGTACTAAATCTCCAGTTTCACTGTCTCTCACTAAACCCTTCCCTTTATCAACTTTCTTGATCTCAGTCTGAGGATGGGCAAAGCCTTTCCTCCCCCCTCCCTGGACAGAGCAGAAACAAAGCGCAGAATGGAACAGATGAAAATGGGGGAAATTAGTGACCACAGAAGCATAGAGGAGCATAAAGGAAAATCAGAAAGTCTGAAGAGAATGGGCAAGCCCAAGTCCCCAGCCAAGTTTGCAACTCCTTATCATTCTGTTTTGTATTTGCTAATAAAACCACTTTCTCCGAGAAAGTAAGGCCTATCTGTGGTGCAGGATCATAAATACACTCAAAGAAATGAGCAAGTACACAAACAACTCACCTTTACATTCTCCAGCTAAGGAGACACCTATCTCAGATTGCAGTCACTAGTTGCCAGGAAAACTTATTGTATCCAAACATAGAGATATCACAGAGCAACTACAACTTGGACAATTTACACCGGACCTTCTACACTCGACACTTTATGCTCTTTCTCTGCTTACTAAACACCCCCCTTCATTTCTAGGTGTGCTCACCTCTACACATGAGCAGGTCACAGCACTCACTGACTCTACATGCAAAGAAATATCTGTAATGCACTGAGCATTGCCAGGATGGCTGTGAGCCAGCGCTTTGAAGGACAAGCTATTGGATCTAAAGATACAGAAGATAGCAAAACTTTGGTGTGGCAAGAACTATAGCTCAAATAACACAAGGACATACAGACAGAAGCAGCAATGCTGAATTAAAGAGGAGCTGTATGTAGTGTGACATGTAAATATGCTGACACGTAAATACTTAACAGATGGGGATTTAATAATCCTGGTCTAAGAAATGCTGTTTATTTTTGTTCTATCAGACTCATTTTACTGTGTTTCTACATTTCAACAAGTCATTTGACACACAAATAAAAGATAATTTATACAGTTTCCTTCTGCAGCACAAAGCTTTCTATGTTCAGGTTATAAATTTACTCAGCACTAACATTAAATTTGGGTATCTTCCACTGGAAAAAAACCCTAGTAATAACTATATATTGTTTTCAATGCTTAAGTTAATACCTCAATCTGCATTGCCTCATTTTGAATGTATTCTTTATAAGCATTACTATGTATTTCCCTTTTTTTCCTTCTAACAATGGAATTTATTAGCTTTCAAACATTATATATATAGCATTGATCAATCTCCAGAAGTGGTAACAATACCACTTTAAACACATACACATGCACGCAAACGAAAAAAAAAAATCAAGGCTTGAATGTCCTTTATATCTTACAAGAAATATAGCAACCAATATTCCATGCAGAGGTGCAGCAAATGAAGTCCTGTCAAGCAAATGGCAGGAATGACAGCAGATGTCTGGACTCCTTCATAGCTGGTTGCATAAAGGTAGCACACATATTTCACTGGAGAAAAAAATACCCTCTGACAAGACAGTCTTTCAGTACTTTTCAGAGTTGGCATTTTTGACTGGTGTGGTACATCAGTAGGTATTAAGATTAATCTTGATAAAGCTTCATTTGCACAATGAAAGCAAAGTCTACAACACTCAGTCATGGCTAAACGAGGCTACCACAATTTAGACCAAGGTATAGTGTCTGGATAAAATTCTTACAATCCAGTCATAAGCCAGACTCCACTCTGAACTCTGATCCAAAACACTTATTTTCATGTCAAGCTATACAGTAATTTTGTTTGATCTCAGCCAACACAAATGAGTGTTATGCAGCTGATTTTTGCTACATAAACAAGCCATAGACACCTTTTTGCATTTGAATACAGTGTTTGATCTTTCAGACTCCATTTATTCATAAGCTCTACCTATTTCACAAAAACTGTCATAGGTAGCTAATCTTTGTGAAGTATTTTGACACTTTAAAGCTTTATATAACAATTAATTCTCTTAAGATATCCTAAATCACATTACATCCTCACTAGAGAGAATAAATGCTCCAAAGCAGAGACACTACTTCCCTGAATTATAAGACACTGGCATAATCTGACAAGTTGTAAACACACTGTTTACTGAGAAATAGGCACAGAAGCTGAGGACGTAACAGTGTTACACATGAAGAAACTAACAGTAAGTAAAATCTGAATTTAACCATCTCTCTATCCTAAACAACAACAGGGCTACCTTACGTGGCTTTGTCTAATAACAAAGCTCTGGCATACTTACACAGGTGTTTAGTGCAAATCCCTTGAGTGAAGCTGCAACCAGCTGAATTAGTGGACTTGTCTGTAAAACTTGTGTTGAAAACTTTCCCAGATTAAGGCTTAAGAGAATGTGCATATTTTTTGTATACAAGATAAACATTACTAATGCTCCCCTCTAGTAAAACAGAATTTTAAGACACTCACCACTTTTCTTTTTCTCGCTTTAAAGGAAATGTTCATTTCCTTGTATTTCTTCATAGCGGTCTCCAATTTATTCTTGAGATCAATGACACATTTTAGCCGATCATCATTTATTCCTGCTCTGGTAAATAACTGCAAAGAGAGAAATCAACATCCTTACTCTTTTTTTCCTAGTCATTTAAGAAAAAAAAAATAATTCAGTTTTCCTTCATAATTAATGAAACAACACTGTCACAAATGCCTTTATTTTACAAGTAACAATTAGTGAAACCACTTTTCCTATCTAGAATATAAAAGCTAATAGCAACTACTAAAGACAAACAAACAATGAACAGCTGCTATAAACATCTCCCAAGAGTATCCTTCTATAGGACAAATTCCATGCACAAGGCTCCTGAGCAGTAATATCAATTGACAGAAAGGACATACTGTTTTTCTGAAACATAATGTCTGACAAAAACATGCTATGTTTTACTTTAATCCTTTGTGAAGAAGCCCCATTTCACAATACCTTAAAAAAAAAAGTACGAGTGTAGGTAAGATCCCTAATGTTGAGAGCTATCAAGCAAGTTATGTGGCTGCTTTTGTCCACCCTGCTGAAACAGAAATCTTTTCTATTTACACCGATGTTTCTTCAACCTTAATTTCCTTTTTGCCTAATCTCCCTCAAGATTTACTGTACCACAGTCCCTGCTTTTCCATATTTTTATCAAAGAGGTGAAAAAAACTGTCTCTCACCTGAATCCAGGACTGCACAGAAGGCCAGAACTTATTTCTGAGAAGTCTGTGAGCATCCATGACATTGTTTATTATGGCACTATTATCTTCATTCTCATGCACTTTTATATCTGTTCAAAACAGGGGGAAAAAAGAGTGGGTGATGTTTATTCTAAACTATAGGAGCAAAGGAAGGTAAGTGGAAGAAGTAGATGTGAACCTTTCTAAAGCATTTGATCACTTTGGGGAAAATTACAAACATCAGAATGTGTCTCTGTTCATTATTCTACCATTATCCACACATTCAAAAAAATATCAGAGGAAAAGATGAAAAGCTTTCAGTCTAGTGACAACAGAAAGAGCTGTTAAACCATCACTACTAAAGAACTGTCAGATAACCACAGACAAGTGCAGTCTTACTATTTACATCACATCTTGTCCTAAGTTCAAATGAACTGGACCTTATTGTACCAGTTTCTGCATGTTCTGCCCCAGTGGCAACAGGGACTTGATTGCCAAAGAAGCCAAGTATGCCACGACCCAAGTAAAAATGGTACTTTCTACCCATTAGTCATTCACAAGCCCCAGGGATACATTTCCAATTCTCTTCTGCCAGCACAGTAGATATCTGCCTTACTGGCTCTTTGCACACAAAATTCTGTTAGGACAGTATTTGCAAGAAAATTTACTTAGACCGCTAAAGCACAAACCATCCTAAATTTTCTAGAGGTAACTCACTTTAGCAAAATTATATAAAGAAGGTATAATCATAATCCTTAAGACTTCCTAGCAAAACTAATTACTTCTCTTGTAAGTCATCAGTAGCAAGGAAAAAAAACACATTTAAGAAACACGCAATTATAAGATTTTAAAATTATCATCTTATACCCCAGCTACAGAGAGAAAGAGGGGAGTAGTGATGTGTATGAGAAAGAAAATTATATATGATAAACAGATTTTTTTTTAACATGGGAAATTCATTATAGGTGCTATGAAGTGTAATGTGGTTACAACAACTAATTCAAAAGTTCAGCCTTAGAAGGTCATTAATAAAATCTGTTAATCACACACAAGGACACTCAAACCTAAGAAAGGTTACTAGATGAACCAGAAATAGAAAAGAACTCCAAAATAAATTCATGTCCAGGAATTGCAAATCAAAATGGTGTCCAGGAACCCCAGCATTTAAGTCATAGAAAAAAAAAAAAACCACACCAACAAAAAAAACCCCACAAAACCAAATCACAACTACACAGCATTTCAGACAAAGGTTACCTCCAGCTATATGTGAAAAAAATTTTCCAGGTACCTGTGGAGATTTCAAGGTCTAGAGTATATTTATGTGAAATCAGCCCATGGTTCCTAACAAAAGTCTGGTAATCATCATCACTGAGAGCAGGGACACCAGACTGAACTTCTGAGCATGTGCCTCCATCTAACTCTTTATTCTCAGGCTTCTCCTGTTTTTCATCTGTGTCTTCATTTTTATCAGTTCTAACACACTGAGAAATAGAAAGAACGTCCTTGCTGCAGCATGGCCGTTCATCATCCGTGCATTCAAAACAGGACTGGGAGGACAAGGGGGATGAAGGCCTATCCTCATTAGCAGACATTTGTTTGTGGGGTTCCAGTTCCATGTTGTTCACAGTGAAGTCAAAAGGATCTGGCATCAGAAGCTGGAAACAGTTTTCCATCTCTGTCAGCGTGTTGGCAATCTCTTGGGACATTTCTATCAAGAGACAATTGTTTTAAAATATTGTTAAATACTGCAAAATGCTAATGTCTCCAGAGCAGAGATATTTACAAAACAAATATGACTGCCACAGGCGCAACCCATTTATCCAGTAACCAGTGATAATGTAGCCATATAGATCTCTCACTGCTGCAGAAATTGTCCTTATAAGAGTGACAATACTTTTCTTAAGCGGGAAATCTAGAATTTCCTGAGCAAGAAATTTACAGCTGGTGTTCCTCCTTTCTCTATGCTCTCTAAAATTTCACTGTGAAAAGATGACACAATACTTCATAGAATTTGAAGGAGAAGGTGGTTCAGTGAGGATATTCTTAGTGATATTGGTGGGTGTTCATTCTACCGCCATCTATGTTATAGCTGCTTGTAGGTGTAGCCATGAATAGATGCTACTGCTCAAAGAGCTGCTACCAATGAGTGTCTTTAAGAAGGTTAAATCTCCTTAAAATTCCACCCTCGTGCTGTTTCTAGCATGTGGAATAAATGCAGACACAATTGGATGCATTGCATATGCCAAAGTAAGTTAACTAAACCATCCTTTGTAACTGCAACATAATATACTCACTATCTCTGTTCTTTCGTATTGCAGAAATATGTTTGCTATTTACACATTGTTTAGAGATTTCAACCCCAGTTACACACATTTTTTAGCAGCAGTACAATACTTTTCAGAGATAGCCTATACTGCATCCAGGATTCCTGTGCAGAACATTGCCTATACTTCCAGAACACAATGACTGTATATATACGCAATAGCATTAGGTTCATCAGCCAAGAAGGTATCGAGAAATCTGTGCCTAGTCAATGACACAGAAATTAAGCCACTAGCTCTGAAAAGTCTCACGATATGTTTGCTTGAGGTCATGCATTCATACTTTACTGAGTTACAGACCAGACCTTTACTTGCTAACATTTTTTTTTTCTTTCAATCTCTTCAATCTCCCTGAGCTCACAGAACTGCCGCATGTTTCCCCTGACAGTCTTTAGGTGAGAGAGATAGTGGGTCAAGATTTAGCAAATGTAGTATTCCTATCCTCTGTGGTCAGCTATTATTTGGATAGCTATTCTCTTAGAATTTGTTTTATATAACCTTAAAAAAGGTTGCTTTAAAAATGAAAAAGAACCCACCCAACCCACACTAAAAGAACTGAAGCAACCTACCTTCCATTTCTTTTTCAGCTCTTTTGGCTTTTTCTTTGTAGATGTTATCTAGTCGTTTTTGCTTCTCCTCTTCCCTCCTCCTTTCAGCCACAGTTCTGGCATGCACATCTTGAAAATCCACCTAAGGAGGAAATGAAGAAAAAAGTGTAACGTTCCTCGTAAGAAATTTATAGAAAATCTATTTCCTAAGATCCTTATCTGTGTTGAAAAATTCTCTAACATCAGCGATCAGCCAAAAGCTCAGCAGTACCTCCTTTTATCTCTTTTCCTCCTAGAATCAATAACTACAGTAATTCTGAATGGAGTTTTTATTTCTACTAATAAGGAACTGATGAGAATCAATACCTTTCAGAAAGGAATCATAAGGTAGAAAAACCAAAATGCTTAGATTTCCACACCTAAAGTGCAGGAATAAACTAGGGTTTGGAAGACCTCTGTCATAGCACTGGAGACATGGGGTTAGGGAGAATGGCCAGTAAGAGACTACACAGTGTAAGTATTCAGATTACATGGAAACATCACACTAGGATCACTATTAATAAAGGAAATCTAGGAAAATTTGTAAGCACTATTACCACAAGAGTACAGATAGATCACTCATTGAAGAACTTCATAAGCAAGGAAAGTAGAAGACATTCAAATACATTTAAAAAAAGACCAAATTTTGGATTTTACCATTAATTTTGTTGGATTTGGGCATGGAGGGAAAGGTTATCATTCAGTCTCACTTTATTTTCTTATGACTAAAATATAAATCTGAGTGATTCAAAATGCTGCTTCTTAAAACATTTTCAATTTTTTTTTTTAGTTTGTTCTCAGAAGGGCTTGAAAACTCACATAATTTTCACTTGTACTTTAAGGACAGGAGTCTTGATTGTGTTATTGCATAAGGAAACCTCTTCGAAAAAGGAAAACACAGTATTTCCATTTGATTGCTACCACATAACTTTCATTAATTTCAATATAGATTATTCCAAGTGCTGATCAAGCCTGTACTTTGCTGCTAGTAAAGTCCTCAGACTCTCTGGTGCTGTGTCTGTATTACAGGCACCCATTGAACATTTGTCCTTATTGCCACTGCTGGATGACCAGGCTTGTCAACAAACAGTAATGGTTCCCAGGTACTAACATCCTACACCAACGTTTTGGAGCCACACAAGAGTAAAACAGTGAAGCTGAATCTCACCTATGAGGTACAGGTCCAGACAACATTGAGTTCACTCTACACAGGACAAATAAGTCTCACTTTCTATCTAGTCCTGGAAGATCTCTCCTGTAACATGTACTTACTAACCGCAGGTCAAGCGAACCAAGTACAGCCTACAACTGGAGTTTGCTTGCTTTTGCCCAACAAAGAATTTTGTTGGTGTCTCACCTCAAGCTTACCGAAATATCTGAATATTCATTCAGCATTAAACAAGTAGGTAACTCCATTAAACACCAAGGAGTTTGAAAAAACAAATGCTTGAATTTGGGCTTAACCACATGCAGAAATGTCTTGCTATATAAATGTTCCTTCTGCTGCCAAATAATCACCTCAGTTGCAATAAGCCTTTGGGGTTTTGCAAGTACTGTTTACGCAAACACTTTAAAGACAAATTGTTTTTATATAAAACCCTCTACTGAGGTCAGTTGCTCATCAACTCTTCAAGTACAACAGACCTCAAACGATATGATTGTTTCTATTGATACTAGTGTTTCTAGAAGTACTCAGATTCAGCTGCTCTAGAAAATAGTACAACCAACCTTGCTGGGTAGCTCAGTATCACAAATACACAAGAAATGATCACCTGGTCATAACCGAGGAGCAGCCATTAACCACAGCAGCACAGACAGGCATGCCAAACTTAAGTTGACTCACACACCTGTGTGTTCAATCTGATAAAACTATAATGTGTTAAAGCTCCCTCATCTCAGTCTTGCATTTCTCCTTGTCACTTTCACTTAGTTTTCTTTATTGACAATAAATAGACAATAAAGACAATAAAGACAGTAAAGAAGACAATAAAGAAGAATTCAAAGACAATCACCTTTTTCTATAGAATTTTTGGCATCTGTTCACAAAAGAACACAGTACAGTAAGTAATACAAGTAGGCTACACTATTAGCTTAGTATAGAACCAGAACAACAGAAATACATGCCTCACAAAGGTTTTTGATGTACTGTTAGGAACACTGAACATGTGTCTTTCTGAAGAGGAAAAGAAAGAGAATCAATATGTTTATTGAATGCCTGATATTATCACCATAGATACTGTTAACGCCAGAATAGTGTTCTCAATGTCACTGTTTGTACCTCCAAAGAGATATTAAAGCAGAAGAATGTTCCAAACATAACTGAAGCCTAGAAGGGAAATATAAAAGCAAGTGTTTACATACAAGAAACTTCTCTTTAATAAAACTTGTTGTATGACACACTAATACTGCAGCTGAGGGGAGCCATCACCTACTCTTACTGCCTCTGTTGGACTGCGAAGGTAAACTAGAACTGGACAGCTCAGAACAGAAACCAGGCTAGTTTAAACTGGCATATAAAGACTTAATAACTGGTTATCCTCAGTTGAATGTATAACCATTATTTCCCTCCTGAAAAAGGCTTCAGGTAGGAATGAGGGGGTGAAAGCCCACTGGTGAGCAATACTTTTTACACCCTGAGAAAAGGCTAGTTGAGTCCAGTCCTCAGTACAAGCCTGGAGTTTTTAAAATGAACTAAAAGTTTGTGGTTTGTCTTTCAAAGACCATGCTCAACTGTATGTCTCCTAAAGACGTCATTTCCAACAGCTTTTCTTTTATATTGATTGGTTTCCTCTCTTTAGACATCTCCTAGAGATCATCACATAAAAAAACACACAGAGAAGTAAAAATGCAGAGTACCTTCTTATTCTGCTTTAAGAAGTGGTATCCCAGGGAAAGCTTCTTGTAAGCCTCTCCATACTTGTCATGCCAGTCTTGCACTGACTTAATGGCTGCTCTCCTCAGTTTCTGTGCCACTTCTTTGGGTGGGGGAAGAGGCTGCTGATGGTCTATCCCCACTGTCAGCTCCAAGAACTCCTGGAAGTCGGAAATAATGAGCGTCCGGAATTTATGAGATCGTGTGAACAACTCCTGCACGATCTGGAAAGCTGAAAAGCGTATCTCAGCATGCTCCTCGTTGAGTCGTGTCATCAGCAGGTGATAGGCATGGTTGATGTGTTCTTCTGAAGACCTGAGAAAGGAGAAAAAGGAAAAAAAAAAAGGAAGGGGGTGTTTAAAAAAAGAGGCTGAGCACATAAAAACACAACTTTTTAAAAAATTTATTTTCAAATTTTAAAGCATCAGCTGCTGTGCTGGCAGCATACATACAGCTCAGCAGGCCCCAGGACGGCCCCCAGGGCAGCCCCGCGGCTGTCCGGCCCGCGGAGAAGCGTCGCTCTCCGGGAGTCAGCGAGGCCCGGCTGCCCCCCC